TCATGCAAATTAGGTAATTAACGAGCATGGATTTTACTAAAACTAATCAAATCTGCGCATTGGCCCAGAGCATCTATACACCAAGTTTCATCGAAAACCAATGTATGGTTCTTGAGATGGCAGTGGAACAGTCGGACACACATACACACACACACACACACACACACACACATACAGACACACTAACTGCAAAGACTCCCATTATGTGCTTCGCACATGGGAGTCAAAAATATCGCTTCTTACCTGTAAATCCGCAACAGTTGCATGAAATTCATTAAATCGTTCACTGAGTGTATCCCGAACAGTCTGCTGGAAGAGTGCTCTAATTGTTTGGAATTCTGTGGTGTTGTATTCACTGCAGGCCTCATGAATTGCGGCTTCACCTTCAAAATAAAATAGTTTTATTATGTTACATATTAAGATTAATTTACATTTTATTTTCTGGATGAAAGAGAGAATGGGAATAACAAATCAGATTAGTTGATTAAACAACAAAAACAATAATATCCCATGATTCCTGGGATTGAGGAGTCACCCATTAAGGGAGGTGTATTCATAACAAGCCTTGTATTCTCTAAACAAACTGCAAAGTTTACTATACTTTAATAGTGCTGTGTGTACGGGACGCGTTCAGTTGATAGATGTCCCCACCACAGCCCTGCGTACAGTGCTGTGTGTACGGGACGCGTTCGGTTGATAGATGTCCCCACCACAGCCCTGCGTACAGTGCTGTGTGTACGGGACGCGTTCGGTTGATAGATGTCCCCACCACAGCCCTGCGTACAGTGCTGTGTGTACGGGACGCGTTCGGTTGATAGATGTCCCCACCACAGCCCTGCGTACAGTGCTGTGTGTACGGGACGCGTTCAGTTGATAGATGTCCCCACCACAGCCCTGCGTACCTCCATAGACAAAGTTCGGGAGCGCACCGTAATTGGTGCGCAAGTTAAAAATAAGTAGTTTCCCAGCCGAAATCGGTTGAAATGACGAAAGTTATCCGTAACAACCATTACAAAGTTATCTGAAACTGAAATGTCTTTAAATAACA